AAGCGCCTTAATGCAATACACTCCTCCTCGCGAACGAGTCTTGAGAATTAGTGAAGTGTTTCTGAATACACAATTAGAATTGTTGAGACAACTAGATGCTATGGGTCAAGGCACTCCGTCAAAACGACGGAGTCCTGACAGTCTGCAGAGCCAGTCGGCCGATGGATTAAGCAACATTTATATTCGCATGTGGAGACCAGAGGAGAGATGATTATGAAAACTGAACTTTTGTTTGACTGAGAACCCCCGTAATGAATAACGCCGTTACCGTCAGCTCGATAGGACTGAACTCAGAGACCTGTCTCAAAATTAATTTCTTCTAAACTCTCTTACCACGTGTCATTATGTTTTAAACAATATATATTCATTTTAAGCGGAAGAAGCAATGGGGTAGTGGTTAGCGCACTGCGCTGTGAACCAGATTCACCCGAGTTTGATTCTGAGCCACGGATATTGACATCAGTGACGAGTGGCATCTGAACTGGTCCCGGGTCCTGACCCTTCACCAACCAGCGCTGACCAGCGTAGTGAAGTATTCTCACACGATAGCAATGCCCGACACGGCGTGGGGACACCTTCAGTCATCAGTGAATTGACGGATGACTTCATCTTACATTCATTCTGATGATCAGTGGACACGACTCCTCAATAAAATGCCCCAGGTGGTGCAGACGACCGAGGTGTCCTTGCGAGACAGAGACTGCGCGTTAGAGGCGGAGTGCTCCATGTTCAGCGAGCGCCGTTGTTACTGAATGAGCGGGCAAATACATCGCGTAATTGGATCATACGCACTGGCGGTTTCCATTCACAAATAGGAAGCCACACGCGGACGCACTTCAAGCGTTCCCTACAACAGCATCCAGACAGAGCGGAGTTGATATGAAGCGTCTTGCATTAAATGCGCACTCTCTAGAGCACCGAGAGTGTCGTCGATTTTATTTTGGGCATGTGGCCGAGAGACACCCGCAACACATTTGGGGAAGGAAAAATAAAGCGCGCTATTTTTTGAGGCCGAGATTTATTTTTTTCTCTCTCTCACTTCAACAGAGGTGACATAAACGTTGACCATTGTGCTGACGACGGAACCTTTAAATACACGGCGGCGCACGGGCATCCACATCGGGAACGAGTCGGTGGCCACGCGGTAGTTGTGTAGATTTTATAAAATTATAGTTGCAGTAGAACGCTCCTTATGTCGGTGATGAAGTGTGGGGGGAGCAGACTTCGCTGGTCGTGTCCCTAATCAATTACCGGGAATCAATCGCTAGGTAGGTGACCCACGGCGGATTACTGCTTTCGGGAGCCAATAAACGAGAGCGCGTTCGGTCGTTGGTGTGCCCAGCCCCCAGATACCCCCAACGTTTTAATTTGCGAGATGCAATTTCAAAATAAAAGTCCCACTAGATGGCAGTATCGCGTTGCAAAAAAAACCGATTAGCAGTCGTTTTTTGTAATCGTCGTTGTGGTTTTATTCAGAAGTTGCTTTTATTTTGACACAAGAGAGGGATATCCCTGCCGGATACAAAGAAATAACTATACATTAAAAAAATCGTTGTTTTATTAGAGTTAATGCATTGTACTCAAGCGTTTCCCACAATCCATCATCAACTACATCATCATCGTGCGCGTCTTTGTTTAAGCATTCACCTCGACCGCTCTGATATTTATGTTAAGGCCACCCGCCGTGATATCGACTTCTCCAAAAGCAGAATGTTGTACAGTGAGGGAAAAAAGTATTTGATCCCCTGCTGATGTTGAACGTTTGCCCACTGAATGATCAGTCTATAACGTTAATGGTAGGTTTATTTGAACAGTGAGAGACAGAATAAAAACAAAAAAATCCGGAAAAACGCATGTCAAAAATTGTATAAATTGATTTGAATTTTAATGAGGGAAATAAGTATTTGACCCCCTCTCAATCATAAAGATTTCTGGCTCCCAGGTATCTTTTATACAGGCAACGAGCTGAGATTAGGAGCACACTCTTAAATGGAGCTCTTTGGCATCAACTCAACTCGCCGTGTTTAGAGGAGAAGGAGGAATGCTGCCTATGACCCCAAGAACACCATCCCCACCGTCAAACATGGAGGTGGAAACATTATGTTTTGGGGGTGTTTTTTTGCTAAGGGGACAGGACAACTTCACCGCATCAAAGGGACGATGGACGGGGCGATGTACCGTCAAATCTTGGGTGAGAACCTCCTTCCCTCAGCCAGGGCATTGAAAATGGGTCGTGGATGAGTATTCCAGCATGACAATGACCCAAAACACACGGCCAAGGTAACAAAGGAGTGGCTCAAGAAGAAGCACATTGAGGTCCTGGAGTGGCCTAGCCAGTCTCCAGGCCTTAATCCCATAGAAAATCTGTGGAGGGAGCTGAAGGTTCGAGTTGCCAAACGTCAGCCTCGAAACATTAATGACTTGGAGAAGATCTGCAAAGAGGAATTTGGACAAAATCCCTCCTGAGATGTGTGCAAACCTGGTGGCCAACTACAAGAAATGTCTGACCTCTGTGATTGCCAACAAGGGTTTTGCCACCAAGTACTAAGTCATGTTTTGCAGAGGGGTCAAATACTTATTTCCCTCATTAAAATGCAAATCAATTTATAACATTTTTGACATGCGTTTATCCGGATTTTGTTGTTGTTATTCTGTCTCTCACTGTTCAAATAAACCTACCATTAAAATTATAGACTGATCATTTCTTTGTCAGTGGGCAAACGTACAAAATCAGCAGGGGATCAAATACGTTTTTTCCCTCACTGTATGTATATGTTGAACCTCGTTCGCACCGTACGTAGCCAACCGTGCTAATCGGACGTGAGGAGGGGGCGGGAGAGACAACAACCTAAAGACAAAAAGCAGTTCGGAAGGAATGAGTTTTCAATCTAGATGATTTAAAAGTGCATTTCTCCGATGGCTTCCCAATATCGGAATGAAGAGTGTTCCAGACATCCGCAGGAGTGCATCTTAACACACACTTGGGATTCATATAAGTAGCCAAATGCATTCGCTTCCCTGCACAAAGTAGTGGCGCGTGCGCACCACAGGGATCAAGCGGCGAAGATCGCGTATGGGGCCGTCCATAAATGACGTCACGCACCTAGGAGGGGGGGGGGTTAGACATTTGTGACGATGTGTGACGAGGGAGGGGGGTTGAGAAATGTGTCGTCACATCAAAATGCGCAACTTTAAATACATATAAACAAGACTTTCTACTTAATTAAATTGACTTTTCTCCGACAACAACAGAGTGCAGTGCCACATTAAATACGCACTACAATGACAATAGTTTAAAGCGATTTGAAGCATGTTTTATTTGGGGGGGGGGCAGCGCTTTGTGACGTCATATTTAAGGGGGGGGGGGTCTGACATCTTGTGCCGCCGTGTGACGAGGGGGGGGGCGGTCAAAAATCGTCCAAAATCGCGTGACGTATTTTATGGACGGCCCCCTATGTATTGCACGTTGAACTTCTTTCGCACCGTACGTAGCCAACCGTGCTAATCGCAGGTGCGGGTGAAGAGCAATCGCGGACTCAACCGCCTCCCTGCGGGGTGTCGCGGTTGTTCCGCCGCGACCCCTTCGGTGTGTCAGTGCGCGCGGGACAAACCCGAACGAACACGCGTCGGAGAGCTGCGCCGTTGAAGACACCCGGTGGGATAGGCGCGCGCTCTCGATCAGCAGAGGAGAAGGGGAAGTTCGTGAGCGTGGACTTTGAACACGGGGGACAGGAAGCCGGCAGCACGGATGGCTTGGGGGGGGGGGGGGGGCAGTGGGGAGCAGAAGGGGGGAGCGACTGGTCTGGGTGGAATTTCATGGCACAGTGGGCAGCAGCAGCAGCAGCAGCAAGGTAGCGACTTCCCATCGATTATGCGGAGGCTGAGTGAGTGTTTTGAGCAGGGCTTAATTAATCATGAAATAACATTAAAAAAAAAATCTTGGACCACCCCTAAAACCGCCGTCCACCGTCCTCCACCTATCCAGACATCTGGAACGAGGGCGAGCTGATATTTTCCGGAGCGCATCCCCGAACAGCACCGGGCGAACGTAAGCCCTGATTGCGGGAGTAGGAGTAAAATACCTTCTGTCTGCCTGTCTGGCTTCCCTCGCGCCGATCGATGCCGAAGCCGACCTCGTTCACGCACGCGTCGGGTGACGGACCAGAGACAGCCTGGACACGCTAATTCCACCGTCGTCATCATCGTCGCCGTCAAAGTCGGCAGCAAAGCGCGCTCACGCGCTCCCCGTGCGCCGCGTGACGTCCGCGCGCCTTTGTGTCCGTCGTGCAAAAAAAAATAATAATCGAGCGCTCGAGTGGAGCGGCCGGCGCACGCGTGCCGCCTCTATCCGTTATTTAAAATAAAAATAAAGAGCGAGCGCTGTTGTGGACGCGGCCGGCGTGCTCCTTGTCACGTGTTCCGGCCGCTCCGATGAGACGATGAGCCCCCCCCCCCCCCCCTCGGCTTCCAGCCCCACTCACCCACCCACCCGACCCTCCACGGCACCTCCCAAGCCCCCCGCTTTCGCCGCCCCCGCCACCACCACCACCACCCCGCCCCCCCGCAAGGGCGAGAAACGCGAGCGGGGAACACGCGAGCCAGGCAGTTGCGCGCACGCTGCCCAACCGACTCGCTCGCTCGCTCGCTCGTCCGCTCAATTCGCCTGGTGCGGACACAGAGTTTTCAACCTTCGGCACCAGCAGCAGCTGCGGGAGCAGCAGCTCCATCATAATCATCTGCAGCAGCAGCAGCAGCAGCAATAGCAGCACGGAGTCTGCAGTAGCAGCAGCAGCAGCATCTTCGGCGAGGAAGTGCTTGAAGCAGAAGAGAAAGGAAAGGAGCAGGAGTTGGAGTCGGCACGGGATGAAGTCCTTGGAAACGCTTCCCCAGCAAGCCGCGTGGCTAATTCGCATCGTCACTTTCCTTCTCGTCATTAGCTAATTGCCAATTGTTAGGTGGAGGTGGGGGGAGGGGGGTGGGTTCGGGGGGGGGGGGGCTTTATTCACTGCCCGTGAGGCCGGCAAAGGATCGCGACATCAAGTCGGAGGAGGGCAAAGCGCTCCGCAAAAAGGGAAGCCCACTCGTCCCAGCGGCTCTCTGCGTCAGCTTCACATACAGTATTCATTGATTTCATTAATTTCGTGAAGGTCGCCTCTAGTTTGCGATGTACTCTGCTTTGGCACCGAGAAGCAGGCCTTGGGAGCATGGCTTCTCCAGGATCCGCAGGAGGAAGACTTTCCTGCTGCCTCGCCTCGCCTTCATGAGCGTGATGCTCATGGTGGCATCATACGCCTCCAACATCTTCTCGAGCACAGGTGAGCGAGCTCCTGGTGGCCCGGGCACTCGATCGCAACCCTCCCAGGTGGCCTTGTTTATTATTTTAAAGAAGGGCGGCGGCGGCGGCGGTGGGGGGAGAGAAGGAGCGGGGCTAGGGGGCACGCACAGTCAACGTTAAACAAACATAAAGCAACGCCGAACAGACTGGCGAGTGGCGATACGATCTGATGTTGTCGATCATGCATTATCATCACCACCCCCCCCCCCCCCTTTTGCTGCCAGCTCTGCAGAGCGTAGCCTCTGTTTCAACGTGGGGTGCTGCATACAGAGAAGAACATCAGTGGGTGGGACGACGCAGGCAATTCTGAAAGAAAAACTTTGAGCAAATCATAAGCGCGGAATGAGTTAGCGTGATACGGTCTGATGTTGTCTATTTCAACATTTTCCGCTTGAACGAGTTACACTTTGACAGCACCTTTCTCTCTCTCTCTATTTCACTTGGAGGTCGCAAAGTGCTTGCAGCGATCACCGCCGGTGTATGTCAGAAGATGCGGACTAAAAACCGCTACTGGTGTTAAATTTAATTGCGTTGGCTGAGCCTTCTGAGGGATGGGGAGAGGGGATTACCCAACCTTCCTACAGCTCCCCCCTCCAATCTTGATATTACGTGGCTGGTTGTGTGTGTGTGTGGGGGGGGGGGGGGGGTGTTCTACGGGTGGAGTCCAGAGGCTGGATACTCCGGCTGTTAGAAGCCGTCTTGTGTCCGGTCTCCAGGACTACATGGCAGACAGAGACAACGCCGTGTCGAGCCGAGAATGATCACTTGAACTCGAGCGGAGATTCTCCCTCCACAATAGCGCATCCAATACCAATAGTCGCCATTCGATAAGTCACCACGGCCTCTGTGCCAGGCCAGGTGCACTTTTGAGGCCAGGTGAAGTGTCGAAGGCTCGCTCGGGACATGCCCGGATGCCATGGGTCGGCTGACTGAGATGATTGTGTAAATGTCCCAGCTGTACCCCCTACTGTGCCAACTTGCTGAATTTTATCCGCCCGGCGCTCCGCTCGTTGTTGTGAGCGTCGCTCCCCTGCCCTCCGTTGTTGCTGGAGGGCGACTGCCTCCAACTGCTCAGCAGCAGCGGCAGCAGCGTCTTTCACGAGCCTCCTAACACAATAGCGCATCACAAGTGCGCCCGTACACACACACGCACGGAATGGAACAACACGAGTTGGTTTTCGCTGACAGGGCCCTGTCGTTCGGAGTGAGCGCACTCGCCAATAACATCGCCGTACGCCAGCGCTGATTGTTTTTAGCCAGGTGGCTGGCTCTGCCGATGAGACGCAAAATAAGGTCGGAGGCGGTTCTGCGTTTGCTCGCTGTTTAAACTAAACGGATGCTGTTTACCAATAAGCCCAGCGAGACCAACATGCTGACGCGTTACGTACGAAAGTGTGTTTATTTGTAGAGATGCCGAAAGCCAACGTGATTATTCAACAGCATTTTTTTACTATTATCAACGGCCATCCAAATTGGTGTCGTAGTTAAGGGCAACGGGCATTGATTGTTCAAAGCGGCCGATGTCTACTACACCACCTTTTGTGTTTTTTTTTGTTTTTAGTTCGTTCCGTTTGCTTGTGTTAAGAATTGCAGCACGTACTTTTAGCCATCACGGTGATAATGACCCGTTACTTTACCCGGCAAGGTCACATCGAGTATCCCAGCCCTGTTGGTTCATATGGGGGGTGGGGGGGTGGGGCAATGTTTGGCCACTTCCATTCACTGTAGAAATTAGTGTTTGGCTTTCGTAATCTCTCTCACCCGGGGGCGTAATTTTGCGCGGCGCTTTATATTTGTTTTTGTCGTGATCTAAGCGTGAATAAAACAATCTAGTTGTGCTTTTCGACCATTTCGCTGCTGGATGAAGACCTCAAACGCGCCGTATCGCACTTCCGATTAGCACGGTTGGCCACGTACGGTGCGAAAGAAGTCCAACATACGTACACACATAGGTTGTCCGTTATGGGAGCTGTGCGCCCATACTTCACTACGCTGGTCAATGCTAAATTGGTGAAGGTGACAGGGCGGGGGAGTGGAGGGGGGGTGCCGTGCCAAGGACCGGTTCAATAGATCAGTCAATCTTTAATTTACGTGCCAATATATTCTTCAATAAAGCAGGCATCGGTGCACATGACAACAGAACGGGAACGGTAGAGGGGGCGTAGAGCAACAGGAATTAATACAACAACAAAAAACACCCCGTTAAGACATCGGCAGCAAACGCCGACTGAGCAAATTAAAGTAGAAACCGTGCGGTTAAAGATATCGTTCGCCACTGAAGAACGTTCAGCCACTGAATAACGTTCGCACACTGAAGAACGTTCGCACACTGAAAAACGTTCGCCACTGAAGAACGTTCGCACACTGAAGAACGTTCGCACACCGAAGAACGTTCGCCACTGAAGAACGTTCGCACACTGAAGAACGTTCGCCACTGAAGAACGTTCAGCCACTGAAGAACGTTCAGCCACTGAAGAACGTTCGCACACTGAAGAACGTTCAGCCACTGAAGAACGTTCAGCCACTGAAGAACGTTCGCCACTGAAGAACGTTCAGCCACTGAAGAACGTTCAGCCACTGAAGAACGTTCGCACACTGAAGAACGTTCGCCACTGAAGAACGTTCAGCCACTGAAGAACGTTCGCACACTGAAAACGTTCAGCCACTGAAGAACGTTCGCACACTGAAGAACGTTCAGCCACTGAAGAACGTTCGCACACTGAAGAACGTTCAGCCACTGAAGAACGTTCAGCCACTGAAGAACGTTCAGCCACTGAAGAACGTTCGCACACTGAAGAACGTTCAGCCGCGACCAGGACTCGAACTCGGAACCAGCCGTGTCGCCAGCGCGAAGCACTGCGCAACCGAGCCAGGCAAGGCGCTAATGCGATTCGTACCCGGTGAGCCTGTTGTAGCCTGCATATTATTACTCTAGAGTTTAAAACCCAAGGCACCTTGCCTTGCCCGCGTAAGCCTAATTACACGTGGTGGTGGTGGTGGTGGTAGTGGTGGTGAAGCCTCCCTGCTCCTGCCACCCACTCACCACCGCTCCTGCCCCAGATGAATTTGCAGTGACCATTGCGCGGCATTGACTGCACCTGATTTCGGTATCTGCAATTGTTTCCCTTTTTTCGGGCCAACATCCTTCCCCTTCATACAAGCGAAATGAAGTCCGACAAAACACAAAAAAGGCCACCCCTTGTTTTGTGTTTTAGGCGTTACCGTTTTTTTGTGTGTTTTTGTTGAAACGCTGGGTTAATTTTTGTTCTTCTATTCAACGTCGTGTAAGTTGTACGCGATCCCTTTTTTTTGTCAATCCACTGCCGGATGATGGCCTTCCCCACCACGGCGTACCGGCTACGTGACCCAGAAAGGCATTCTTCACCGCGCTGGTCGTAGACGCGGGAGCATAGGAGCACAGTACAACGATGGAGCTTTTGCTTCGCTGCGCATCCCTGCGGTCCACTACACCCTACATTCATAGAATCGGAATCAGTGTTTATACTGCAGGAGGTACTCCGATGAGCTTGTAAAGCTATTTCTCACAGATGTACAGCTGGGGCGGATCAGAACGTTACGACAACAAACACAAAACAAAAACACGACATGAGTACAAAGTATAGGAAAGGTAAACAAATCACTTAAAGCATAATACGGGGGGGGGGGGAGGGTGTTGTGTTAGATCGTGTAAATATATAAATGTGTTGTTAAACCCACCACCACCCGACACAGCCAATTAGTAAGGATTGTCACGTAAACAGAACGTGGCCAATCCGTCACGAGTAAGGATTGTCACGTAAACAGAACGTGGCCAATCCGTCACGAGTAAGGATTGTCACGTAAACAGAACGTGGCCAATCCGTCACGAGTAAGGATTGTCACGTAAACAGAACGTGGCCAATCCGTCACGAGTAAGGATTGTCACGTAAACAGAACGTGGCCAATCCGTCACGAGTAGAGCACGCCGGCGTGTTGGAGAGCCCAGCCACAACATTTAAGTATCTGCATTCTTGGTTCTTTCGGTAAAGTCACGGCTGCTTGCGTTGTGGCCGAAACGTCGTGAGAATTTTATTTTATTATGATTTATTTTTTTATTCTTTCCCTTCTACGTGGTGACTTTACCGAAAGAATCAAGAATATGAATCCCTGCAGTCACGAAAGCTTTCAATCGAAATTTACAATCTGAGTACGACGTTTCGCCAGTAATTACAACCAGCTTCATCAGGCGACAGCCAGATTTGTGGAGACGTCCACCTGTTTCGTTCCTTACATAGAGGCGTAGGCGTGATGACAACACTTGAATTAAAAAAAAAAGTTGCCCATTGAAGCATTTCCCAGGCTCGATGCTTCGCTTAGTTTGCGACTCATGACGAGTTCGACAGCACTCCGGGTGACCTCGCCGAGGCCAACTGCGGCGAGTGAGAAAAAAACTTGCCACGATCCACACACCGTTTTGCTGCTGAGTTTTCATCTGAGCCGACACGCAGGCTTTGCTCGTGCAACCCGTCAGGTGCTATTCGAAAATCTATCGTGAAACCCCCCCCTCCCTACGTCCAAAAAAAAAACAACAAAAAAACGCACGTGGGCTTAGGCCGCATACGACGCCAGAACGAATGAACGATGGATCGATCGTTGATGGACGAGGACGGCGAATGACAGCCAATGGCAAAGGGGGGAAAGGGTGCCCCCTAGAAACACGACCATCGCGGAGAGGGGCACGCGAGGAGAGAGCGAGCAAGCAGCTCGTGGCGCACGAACCAGAATGCCTTGCGGCATTTGCGGCACCGTTGGGAAGCGCTTCGTGGCTGATGCTGATGACGATTAAGATTGTTGTCTTGACATTTCATGGAGGGTCTTGAGAGACTCGTGGTGGTGGTTGCTGGTGGTGGAGGAGAGTGGGTGGTGGAGAGGAACGAAGGTTCAGAGGCCGTCCAGAATCATAATATTTATTTATCCTGGAGGAAATCCGATGAGCTATAAAGCTCTTTTCCACAGATGTCCAGTAGGGGCGGGGGGTGGGGTGCAGGGCCCGGTGCAACTCACACCGTGTGCCCCCCCCCCCCCCGACGCCTTCAAGCCAAACCAGAAGCATTACATCTAACACCGTGACGTCGAAGCGCGGCCCCCTCCCTCCCCAAAGTGCGGGGCTCGGGGCAGTCGCCCCGATTCGCTGTGACCCTAGGAACGCCTCTGAGAAGGCTATTGTTTTTTTATGGTTAGCAAAGTGGAAGACCCTTTAAGTATATTTAGCGACACTAAGCCTAATGAAAACCTACAGCTCTGGCAAGTGCCCCTTGATGGAGAATCGGATACGTGTTGAGCTTAACTGGAATTAGCAGACATTCACGATGCAGGCACGTCTCTATCCACTATGTTTTTTTTTACGCGCAAGAATACAGCGTGAAAATGTGCGTGGAATTGGGATATTTTTTTTTTGGGTCGTTGTGAAAATTTGAGAGCCGTTATTTTATTTTAAAAAATCGATTTAAATAAATACATCCATCCAAGCGCGCGCTTAAAAGGCATTGCGTTTGTGCCGGATGGATCCAGGTTACATAACGCACGTGTGTGCATACAGTGCATTAGGGGCGAGCTTAACGCACGCGCGCGCACACACACACGCGCGCGCGCTGCTGGGCCTCTGGGCTTACTTGCATACGCGGAGAAAGTCCACTGACAATAAGCTCGGCGTATTCTCCAGGCTACGGTGTGACGGCGCACAGCCAAATTTGGAACATCACTTACCTTAACTACCTTGTCCCTTGTTAAAAGGCATGCCGGGGTTTTAAATGCCCAGGTCGTGTATTATTGAGGCGGGAGGAATTCCTGTGGGCCAAGCTGTCGCCGGACAACAATTGCCTCATGGAAAATGTAATATTTATGCGATATGCCCGTGTACGTGTATAGGGCAAGTTTTTTTGAGTGTCCGTCCATTGATGAACGAGGGCCTCCGCCATGCCTTGTGGGCCATGGAGGCTATGTTGGCCATACTTCACCACGGTGATTAGTGCAGGTTAGTGAAGGTGGGAAAAGGTAGGGGTGGGGTACAGAACAACAATGGATATTACTGCACTGCCCACAACGCCTATATCACCTGTGTTTTGGGAATAGTCGTCACTCCCATAGCATTCTGTGTGATTTGGCCATATCCGTTCCCCAGATGGATTAGGGTGAAACTGTGAATACATATGTACTCAGATTGTAAATGTTGTGGCTTGGCTCTCCAACACACCGGTGTGCTGTACTCGTGATGAATTGGCTACGTTCTGTTTACGTGACAACCCTTACTAGTTGGCCGTGTCGGGTGGTGGTGGGTTTAACGACACGTTTATATATTTACGAGATCTAACGCAAAAACAACCCTCAATTACATATGAAATTTACGTGCAATCGGAATACAATTAGGGTACTGTGTAATTGATGGTGAAGTAGAAAATTAACTACGTCTTTTACGAGTGCAGTCCACATTTCCATGCAGTACAGATTTTGAGTTTTCAGATAATATATGAGGGGATTCTCCCCACCAAAATGATACCAAACAGCCCCTCCGGCTCATGGACTAGAAGAGTTTTAAAGATGAAACTCTGTACTGTATCATCATCAGCAACAGCAGCCAAGATAATTCCACTGCTGGATAAAGGCAATCAGAAATCTGCTGCCATTCCTCATGATTCTCTGCGATGTTATGATCCACCTAGCACCTGCACATGAACTGAATTCATCATTCCATAACTGCCACCTCAACTTCAACGTGGCAACCCCATCGCTTATTCCCGTCTCAACTTCACCACCATGGATCATCCCCATGCAATTGTGAATGTTGACCTTCCTCGTATCGTTGGTGATGGAGGGGGGGGGGGCATCGGGGCAGGGGGGGGTGGGGCAGGAGACTTTCTCCACACAATTATTGAGCACATGACCCAAAGAGCCAAAGCATCAAGCGACCAGATAAGCGTTAACACGGATTAACAAAGGTGCTGCTGCGAAGAAGAAGAAAAAACCCAACATCATCGCACAACTGCTGTACAGCTCCGCTCTGGGGAGGCAGTGTTGCGGGTGAGTGCGTGGACTCGGGAGAGTCTCAAGCGCACATCTAGCCTGGCACAAAACGCCGTGGTGATGTCACCGTGACTTCGTGGCGAGCGGCGGTTCCTGCTGCTGCTGCTGTTGCTGCTGTTGACGGAACCGTGGCTCGCTGAGCGGACTTGTCACACGGGACGCTCGTGAATTGCAGGCGAGGCAACGAGGGCAGCCACGCGCGGCCCGAGCGTGGATCCCGGAGTGAAGCGATGGAGCCGCAGGCTGCTTGCGGCCACGTCGCACCACCACCGGCACGACGACCCGCCTCGAGCCAACGACACGGAGGACAAGAACTGCACGGAGCCAGGTAAGATGACGCCTCCTTGCTTCCTCCCTCCTCTTCCTTCTTCAATGGAGCAATGCGGTGGCGAGATGTTAACTACCTCGCCTGGTATACAGGAGGCTGTGCGTTCAATTCAGACCCCCCGACACCTGCTGTATATTTGGAATTTGCATGTTCGCTCTCCCCGTTGTCGCGTGGATTTTTTTTCCGGGTTATGCCGGGTTTTCCCCTCCAGATTTAGAAAAATGCGTTCAGAGTGTTTGGCTGCTTCGTTGAGCGGTCATTTGTCATTTGTAGCCAGGTCGCTTCCGAAAAAGAGCTTCATAGCTCAGCGACCTTACCTGGTAAAAAAAAGTTTAGTTGAATGCCAAGACCTCCTCCTTCAATGCCTAGAGCAGTGTTCTTCACTAATTTTCAGAGGGGGGGCCACTTTCGCAGACGAGTCATCTATATATATAAAAGGGAAATTTATGAATGTGTGTCTGTTCAAAATGTTCAGCATACTTCGCGACATGCAGCAAACTTGAAATTTTGCATGTGGGTAGCTTCCAGACTGTACACAATGCAAAAAGTATAAAAAATTAACTTTGGTAAAAAAAAATTTGGGGGGGGGGGGGCGCAATAATGGATATATTTTGCATGGCAAGTGAGCGGTGACGTCACATCTGTGATGTCACCCGCATGCAACAGCGTCACGCAGTGTGCCTGCTGACGTCACGCACCCCCCCCACCACCCTCCGCGTCGGCCGTGTATTAATCCAAGACAAGAATCCGGGTAGTAAAGCTCGCCTTCAATATGAGGGCCTCCACACCACCTGCATTGGGGTGTTATCATATTTCAGTATTGTCATGGGTCGCCAGTGGCCTTTGTGCCTTGCAATCAAGAACACAAACCTCGAAACATCACCTCCTCATCATCATCATCATACCTCCGTGTGTGTTTGTGTGTCGCAACGCTTTAGCATGACCTTGTTTTGCAGAGGAGGTGGGGGGGGGAGGAGGCATAGAACACGTCACTGTTAAAGACACTTTAAAGCAATGTGAAACCATGACCAGAATGAGTCACAATACAATCTGCTTTTGTCTGTCGAGCATCCTGCAGGAGCTGCCCAGCCTCTGTGTGTGTATATACATTATGTAAATATTATAAGGCTGTGGCCCATTGCTTAATTGGCACTGGTGTTAAACTACTGTACCGATATTTTTGTATTAATCGACTGGAGGTGAGTAGGGGGAAGGAGGTTTTTGCGCTGGACATTCGATCGTCGCTATTTGGGGGGGGGTGGAGGGGTTGACCCCCCCTCTCCCCCCCCCCCCCCCCCATCACTGAAGGCTCAACCCCTTCCAGCAGCCGGAGCCGTCCCGAGGGTAACGGCGAATCGAGGCGACTGCCCCGGGCCCCGTGCTTTGGGGCGGGGGGGGCGCGCTTCGACGTCACGGTGTCAGATGTTGCACTTGCGGTTTAGTTTGAAGGCAGAGAGGTGGGGCTGCCCACACAATGGGGTTTGTTCCGCCCCCCCCACTATGGACGGCCCTGCCAACAGCCCCCCCCCCCCCCCCCCCCACTCACCCACTGACGGCTACGGGGCTGGCGTGTGGCAGAGTGCGGGGGGTGGGGGTAAAGACCACAAACACTTCTCTAAGTTTCTGTGTCTCTCATCACAACAATCTCAAAATCAACCATCCCCCCCACTCCGCCCTCCCCCTTCTACGCCCCAAACGGCCAGGATAGCAAAGGATTGTTGCGAAAGCATTTCCGATCTACCACGAGCACGGGATGCAAGACGGGGGCGGATTTTTTGTTGTTTGTATCGTACCGTGCACGTTGTGAACTTCTCCCGTAGCCAACCGTGCTAAGCGGAGGTGCTGGGCGAAGGGCAACAAACATCAAAGCAGCAAAAGCGCTCCCGGAGAGAGATGCGTTTTCAATTGAAAGCGGCGCAGACGAAAATAGCCGCCGAGTTAATTATGGTGACGTCGGGATTTGCGTTTCGCACTGCCAAGTTTCATGCTGCCAAGTTCAGCGTGCGGCGTTCGTCCACCCAAGGCGCCAGCTTCCGCGAAGGCTCACGGGGAAGTACGTACGTTGGACTTCTTCCGCGCCGTACGTAGCCACTGCCTTCTGGTTAACCAAAGCCATCGTCCACGCGTCGCTCTCACGGTCCTAGCTCCTTTACGAATGATCGACGGAACGGTTCGCCGCTAATTTGACTATTAAACGCAGCGATACCACAGAGAAGTCGTGCATCAGGAGGCATGCGTAACGCGGGCTTTTTTGGGGGGTGTTAGATCGCATAAATATCTAAATGTGTCGTTAAACCCCCCAAAAAACCCTGCATTATGGATGACATTGGTCGCGCAAGCCGACGGCGTGTTAAAGAAGGCATGCGTTTGGATGTCATGTAGACTTAGACTGGGGTTTCTCGGCTCGAATGGTGTACTTAGGGTCGTCCATAAATGACGTCACGCACCTGGGGGGGGGGGGGTCAGACATTTGTGACGACGCGTGACGAGGGGGGGGGGGGGGGGGAGTTTGAGAAATGTGACGTCACATCAAAGTGCGCAACTTTAAATAAATATAGACAACACGTTCTACTTAATTAAATAGACTTTTTAATAAATGTTTTCTCCTACATCATCAGAGTGCAGCGCCACATTAAATACGCACTACAATGACAATAGTTTAAAGCGATTTGAAGCATTTTTTATATTTTTTGGGGGGGGGGGGCAGAGCTTTGTGACGTCATATTTGAGGGGGGGTCTGACTTTTTGTGACGCCGTGTGACAAAGGGGGGGAGGGGGGGGTAAAAAATCGTCCAAAATCGCGTGACGTCATTTATGGGCGGCCCCTTAAATCGATGCTGCCGTGGGTGTAATAGTTGGCACACTGGACTTACAAACCAGATGTCGACAGTTCGATCTCCACCGCAAAGCAGCCGAAACAACGGGGCGAGTGGAATAGTGGGTACCTCAAAGTTAAACGATCCTCAGGTGTCGTATTGTGGGGTAAAATACAGGCTCCTCCTCTTCCAAGGCATCTGCCAAGTGTGGAAAAGTAGGCCAAATACCCACTGGAGGGACTCTCTTAGAGCTCCGTCTACTGTACGTGAACATGTTTATACTTAGTTTGAGCATCAAAGTGCATCGTAGCCGGTAGGCGCTGTGGAGATAGCACACAACTTTCATTGGACGTCCTGATTCGAGACTGTTATCTCAAAGCTACTTTTAAACAAAAACACTTTTTTTCTGAATCCTATCTAAATAAGATTCTTTTCACGGACACTTCCTTTCTGCTGTATCTCTATCCAACGTGACCTTGGGAGAGAGAGAGAGGGAGAGAAGCTTCTGTCTGGCATTCCTGACACGAGAACAATCCAGACGCGAGCTTGCGTAGTATGCGCACGTGCGTATGAAAACCGTGACGCCATCCTTTGCCTACTGCACACCTCACCGTGACAGTTATATCATCAAATTAGTTTTAATTTAATTTAAATTTGCACTTTTTTTTTAAATGATTTAATTGTTAATAGAATATTTAAAACAATTAATGAAAAGATTGTAATACGGTAACAATGAACAAAAACTTAGCCACAAAATAAAGAATGTGCTATTTCCTTAATTAACTGTACACAAAATGCATTATTATAAATGTTTTGTGGGCAAGAGTGGTTCCCGGTGGCCAGGAGTGGTGGATCCAAGGGGGGGGGGGGGGGGAGTGGGTGGGGGCAATGGAGGCAATTGGGCACCATGGTGGCTAGGAGATGTTAACTACCTCGCCTAGTATACAGGAGGTCGTAGGTTCGATCCCGACCCTGATGCCTGCCGTATATTCGGAGTTTTCGTGTCTTTCTCTCATCATCATCACGGTAGCTAGGATATGCTAACACCCTCACCTGGCCATCACCATGGGAGGTCGTGGGTTCGATCCCGACCCTGACACCTGCCATATTTTGGAGTTTGCATGCTCTCTCTCTCCGTGGGCACGTGTATTTTTCTCCAGGGCCTCTGGGGTTTCCCTCCGCATTTAGAAACAACGTTCGTTTACAGTATTTGGCTGCTATAAATTTCCACTCGATAAGCCACTTCATTGAGCTATCATTTGTGGCTAGGTCGCTTCTGAGAACGAGCTATATAGCTCAGTGGAACTTAAAAATTTTTTTTTTTATCGTTTAGTTTTAATTGCCCCTGCATCTTGAGACCCCAGAAATTTCGTATATATGTTTTTTATATTTACCTGACAAAAATCTATCATACTACTCTTTTAAAAAAAAAATCTAAGCCTCGAGTTTCTTGGCTGCCTGCCCGCTGGGCTCCTCTTCCATGGAACAAATACACATTTAATCAAATGTTTTTTGTAACAAATAATCAATGCATTTTTTTAAATTGAAACAGCAGAAGAAGTTCGTAAGACGTTATGTAGTCTAGATGGCAGCGCTGAAGAGGTGGGAGTAATGAATCACGAAGACCGATACCGTTCGTTTAAAATTGCTCCAACTTTTAAATTTGTGCTCCTCTTAATGCACTTACTTATTTCACCAGAATATAATTTACGTGCAAGAGAACACATTAAAAGACCCCCCCCCCAACACTACACATCATCTTGGCATTTTATTACGGAAAAAATAATCAGATTAACTGAGTGCTCCGAGTACAGGAGGATTGCGAGAAGAGCATGAAAGTGACAGCTGTGTTTTATTTTATTTTTCACTGCAATGGTCTCTATGGGTTGATGCAACAAAATAATGGAGAGGCCTATTTTAAAAACGGCTTGAAGTTTCGGGACAAGGCTCCCCCTATTCGCCCCCCCACCCACGCCCCCCCTCAACCCTCCCCCTGGGAAGTTTCTAGATCCACCTCTGGTAGCCCGACAATGCCTAGGCGAGGTGTTCGTTTCCGTCGATCGCGGCCTTCACCACAACTCGACGAGCAAGAGGGAAGGATCATCACACGCGGAGGCGATGGGGGAGTTGTTGTTGTTGTCGGTGACCGTTGCGTTCACCCGCCACCACCCAATCAGGGGCCAT